GCCTCTTTTGTTTCTTTTAATTTAACTGGTTAAGCAATTTTAGTGAAATTCACTTAATCTCTCTGAGCATCAGTATCATCAGCACTATGTGACTAATAAATTTCAATAAATATGAGAAACAAATGAGCTAATGCATGCAAATCATATGTTGAGAGTATAAATATGTTTATTATTATTATTATTATTATTATTATTATTAGGAATAGTGGCTTGCTCATTTTAAAAATTGCTTAATTTCTCAGAATCTGGGTTTTACTATTTTTACTTGAGAGGATGAGGCCATTAGAATAAAAAATTCAAATACCTTCAAAGCAGATAACATAATGTGTGAAGTTCTCAAGTATAAGAAAATTTGGGGAGATGGTTATTGTGGCAAATTGGAAACAGTATACCATATCGTCATTCAAATTCATATCAAGAATAAAACAAAACAAAGCAAAACAAAACCACTGTGCTGTTCAAACAAAATTCTACAGGCCTAATGGAGCACACTGTATCTCTTGGGGAAAATGTCTGGCATCTTTGGCCTAGACAACCTCTAGATTCCTTTTAGCTCCAAAACTCTGTATAATTCCAACTGTATGTGGAACTTAAAGTTAATGTAGTACTTTTAAATAGGGTCATTTAAATAATATAATGTCTTCTTAACACGAGTTTTAGCTTATAATAAAGAGGTTCAGAATAGTAAACGAAATCAATACTGTCTGAACCGAAATTAAGCACAACCTCAACTAGATTATAAGACTATATACTAAACAAACAAAGTTATGCAAAGAGATGCCAAAGAAAACCAGAAAGAGGAAACAGTAAGGATGAAATCCCCCAACAGGGCACAGATGTTAAAATGCTGTTAAGCGACAGGTTTGTTTTTTTTTTAAAAAGGGGAGTAAAAATGGATGAAAAAGATAAACAGACAATTCAAAAAAGAAGAAACATGTGATAAACAAATATATGAAAAAAGATTTCAATTTCTCAAATAACCAAACAACTAAACATTAAGACATCATTTTTGTCCTTCCAGCTGACAAATTTTTATTATGCCCTATTCATCACATCTAACTGGCAATCTTATTATTTAAATCACTAAGTAATACAAATAATATACACGTTCATAAACTAACAGGTCAATGTTTCCCCACCTAAACTCCACTACTGACAATTTGGTATGCATCCTTTCTTTCGTTTTCTATTTCTTTTTCTTCTTCTTTTAAAAAGCTTTATATGTATGAAAAATATAGAAAACCATAAAACAAAATGATATGCATTCACAATTACACACTTTTTTACAGGATGTATATAAAATAAGAAGTGATAATCCTAATGTCATCCTTTACTTCAACCTCACTCGTCTCTGACATATCCCTGTCCTCCTGTCTTACAACTTTCTGGGTACATACACATGTATTATAATATCCTTTCACAAAAGTTTTACTTACTTACAGAAATGACAGCACACTTTACATCCTTCTAAGTAAATGAACCATAGAGATAAGAAAAGTTTGTATTGTTTTAATGACAATGTCTTCTGTTAGGACAAGGGTACTTAAAACCGGTACCCTCTACACTAATCTTTATTGATGATAGAATTACAACATTTTGTCTACCTCTTGGAGGCCAACTTGGGAATATATAAGAATTTTTAAACTTTGATACAATAATTCCATTCCTAGAGGTTTATCATTGAGAAATTATTAAAGATTTATAAGATATACACATTTATATTTATATGTATTTATATTTAAGGATGCTCATTATCAAATTTCTAACAGGGCATTTTATAAATATATAATATTTTACACTGGGTCATCAGGCAACCATTAAAAACCATTTGTTTTAAAAATATTGTTTAATGTGGGAAAATGCTCCATAATGATAGATGAAAAATTACAGAATACAAAACTGCATAATTATGAGGACTTGTAAAACACATGAACTATAGTTATATGCATCATTGTGGGATTTTTAAAACTTAAAACTTAATGCTCAGTTAAAACAAAGCATGTAATAGAAGATTACATGCAGTGATTCAATTTATATACAGGTTAAAAAAGAGGAAAAAGTATAAATAAATACATATATTATGTATTTTTATCAGGAAGGGACTAGGAAATAATGCCCCAATATTTTGCTAGTAGCTTTTCATTTGCCTTATCAAACAGCAGGGACTATAAACAGACAGGGAGCAAACAATGGTTGGCTCTCAGACCTGGAGAGAGCAGCTTCATGCCGTCATCAGGGTTCTGGGGCTTGGGTGACCCCAGGGAGCTCAATTTCAAATTACTTCTAAAGACCATATGAAGAATATCACTGAAAGAAAATTCAGTAACTTATTTGTGCCATTAGGATCAAAGATAAACATTCAAAAAAACAGAAACTTTTAAAAGAAAATACATATTGATCTTACATGGCTCCAGCTTTGGAGATAGGGCAAATATATTCTGCCTTGAGCATCCACATGTTTTCCAACTGAAATTCTCATATTTGCAGTTGGCTTTAGGAAGCAAATGGGGGGAGCAAAAGGGTGAGAATCCAGAATCCACAAACGAATTGGTATGTTATATGTATTACCTATTTGAGACAAAATAAACAAACACATCTTCAAATAATAATGAAGCACACACACTGTATTTATGGCATAGGTGGCCTTTTAAGACACATAGTCTAGTCAAGTTTATTGATAACTTGAGGACTATTTCTCTATTTTCATCCACATTCACATTGGAAATATGTTCCCATTAAAGCACCAGCATAACATTTACAGAAACTTAATTAAGACAATGGCCAGCTCATTCAATTCAATTCAATATATATTTATAGAACCTACTGTGCTAGGAGTTGGGGATACAACATCTTCTCTACATAACCTTTTTTGCTCCACCCAAGCAGAGCTATTGCACCTTTCTTGAAAGGTAATGGACACTCTTATTTTTATACTTATTCTGCATTGAAGTTATCTGCCTACAAGTCTGTTTCTCCTTTTACACTGTGAACTTCTGGGGATAATTATGTATTGCTCATTTCTATGTCCCCTGCACCAAGTATAGTGCCTAACATACTGGCTGATCAATAAAAGTTTCTTATATAACTAAGAACAAATGAATGAATAAATGAACAAATGAAAAATGAATGAATGAGCAAAGATGAATTTGATATTGGCCCTCAAGTTGCTCATTAATTGCAGATACTATAATGTAACATACAAGCTGGGTTAGATACATAGAGCTTAGAGCTGAAAATGACCTCAGTAGTCACTTTCTCCAGTGGTTTTTAAATTTTACAGTACTGAGATAGGAACCCAAGTGAAGGCTCTTCCATATTCATGTACCATATAACCGCAAACCATGTACAATGGAACCACGTAAGGCATGCCTACTGAAAGCCAAAATCTCTGACTGCTTTGGTCTACAGAAAGCCCAAAGTTAAACCTAATATAAGTGCAAAAATTCACCTTAAATTAGAAATCTGACCAATTATCCTAGCCATTCTATTGTATCTCCCAATATTTATTCCTGCTTTCATAGTTTTATTGCATATATCTTTCACTGTATTTAAGAACATGGCCTCTTAGAAGAGTGGAATGCCTACGTTCAATTCCTAGTTCCACACATTATTAGCTATATGATTTTAGGCAAGTTACTTAACTTCTCTGTGCCTCAACTCCTTCCTCTACAAAATGGGAAGAATAAAAGCTCCTAACTCACAGGGTTGTTGTGAGGACAAAATTAGTTAAGGTATGTAAAATGCTTAGAACAGTACATGACATGGTAAATAGACCATGACGGGTTGGCAATTTTTTTTTTTTGCATTCTCAACTTTACTCACCATTCTAGTGATGGCTCCTCTGTACAGTGAAGGAAAGAGTACCCCCACCAGGGGAGTGGAGAGACAGTGAAGACCGGACTTGGTCGGCAGTGAAGATTAAGAGGATAACTAAAGACTGACAACCACAAAACAAGGAAGCCAGCAGTGGCCCTTCCAAGTCTCAAGGACCCAGAGAGGGTTGCAGAGCCCTTAAGGACCTAACAGTACAGTGGCAACTTTCACAATTTACCTCAAACCCATTTTGGAAATAAGCAAGGTAAAAATAAAAATAGTTTCCCTTTCCACTGCAATCTTTTTCTTACTAAGGAAATCCTCTACTTTTTTCATCTTGCTCCCTCCTCCCCTAAGCACAATGATACTCAGCTCTGTCTGCATATCAGAAACACTTAAGGAACTCTGAAACATACCAACATCCAGGCCACTGCCCCAAAGTTTCTGATTCAATGGGAAGGGTCTGGACAACATTTTTAAAAAGCTTCCCATATAATTCTAAAGTGCAGCTAGGATCAAAAGTCAGTATATAATAGAAACGTCCTAGTACTATTTCTACTATATCAGCAGTTCTTAGAATCAAACTCCTCTTCTAATTTTATCTAAGTATTCAACAATTTTTCTTAATTGAGGTATAACTGACATATAACAGTATATTAGTTTCATGTGTATAACATAATCATCTAACCTTTGAATATATTGCAAAATAATCACCACAATAAATCTAGTTAACATCCATCACCACACACAGTGTCTAAGTATTTACAATATGGGTATGGGCTATGGGCATAGCCGTTGGTCCAAAGCTAATTCTATGATTATAAAGTCCCGAAATCACAGCACTACCAAGTGACCAACAGGTAATGAGACACACCATCACACTCCTCCAGACGGTATTCTGTCTAATGTTATATACTCTAGACCAGTGCTTTTCAAATGTTGGTCACAATAATTAGGTCACGAAATTAATTCAGCAGGCTGTAAACAATATTTTTACATGGAATTGAATAGAAAAATACACTGACAGGTGGTATGGTATTTCAGTTATAAACATGTATAACTATGTATATAAAAGTATTTCTTATTATGGGTCACAATCAAAACATTTAAAAGCCACTGTTTAGGCCATGCAATTCTTTTTGTTTTGGAGTAGTAGTCCAAATCTTGAAGGCACCACTTTCTAATGTTAATCATTACACGTTAAAGGAAAGAAATTTCTATTAAAGGTATCTTCCTGGTTGATCAAGGATGTGTTGCATTCATCAGTGCTCCTCCCCAGCAGCAATCATGCATTTTATTATTTTTTTAATTAATTATTTTTATAATTCTTTTTTTTGGCAGAGGTCATAAGATTTATTTATTTATTTAATGGAGGTACTGGAGATTGAACCCAGGACTTTGTGCATGCTAAGACATGCTCTACCACTGAGCTATAACCTCCCCCCAATTCATGCATTTTAATAGCTCATTCCTGGCAAAACACCTGGTAAGTCTGATTCCCATGTCTATATTGGTAAGATTTCACTACTGGTGTCCTATTCCCTTCTTCTTTCTTTCCCATTTTTTCCAGTCAGCAAATGTCCTGCCTCCAGCCCCGCCCATTGCTTTCAGTAATTCATTACCAAAGAGTCAGGACTCCTGTTAGAACCCTCAGATTTAAAGTAATTACATCGTTTAAGAACATAATTTAAGTTAGCTATAAATAAAGTTCAGATGAGTACCATCCTACAAAGATCATACACATCTTGAAAGAGTGGGTGGATGAAGAAAAGGTGTCATCACAACCTTGGCACAATCTTAGAGGGATAAGAGATGATCCAGAAAGTTTCTGCAAGTATACATAAGGAAATATCAACAGAAGATTCACCTGGGGAATAGGACTGTGTGGAAGGTTAGATATAAGCTTAACCTCATTTCTTCTTGTTTAAATTTTTTTAGCATGAGCATGTATTATTATTATACTAACAAATTTAGTAACTAAAAGGAAGTAATATAAGCAGACAAATAATAATGGCCAACATTTATTAGGCACTTACTATGTGCCAGCAACTATGCCAAAAGCTTTACTTACAGTAATGCACTTAATCATCACAATTCTAGAGTTAGGCTCTGTTACTGGTCCATTTACAGACAAGAAAGATAATACATCCTGACCTGCTGACCAGCAGGAAATAACTAGTGTGCATCATAATGAGTTGATATACTTCTAGTCAAAAGTAAAGGGGAAAAAGACTGTACTAAAAAAATAAAAAATAAAAAAAAGTGTCACAAGACCCATTGCTACCTTGGAATTACTATCAGCATAAGAATCAATGACCTGACTCGTTGGCTCTGGGAAGATGCAGAGTGCCAATAAGAGGCATCTTAAGATCATTTTTATGCCCTCCTGTTACCTCCCGACACTGTCCTAGAAACTGAATGTTACTAAGCAATGATTCATTTAATTTCATAAGTTCCTTTGTTAATATACAACTACCCCTGAAATCACTGGGGTTGGTAAGAATTATAAAATCAGTCAGTTAATCAATCAATCATTGGGGTAGTATGAATTCTTTCTCTCTTTCTCTAACATCTAACCATAAAAATACAACACAAATAATGGGAAATAGGTCTGAGTTAAGTTCTCTAAGCACTCAGAAAACAGTGAGAACTTGGGGAGAAGCAAGAAAAGGAAATAAAAATCGACTCTATACCTGTTCTGCCTGCCTCACTGCAATTTTTTCAGAGCCTACTGCTACTTACTTCCACCTCCAACCACATTCCTATTCGTAAAAACCAAACTGAATTCCTGAGCATTTTCTGTGCCAAAGGAGGTATGATGACTGCACATAAACAGGGGCAGAATAAAACATGAGTGTATCTCTGGCAATAAGCCATTATGAGGGGGAAGCAATTAAGGACGGTCTGTAACAGTAAGGAATTACCATAATGAAGCACTATTTTGAAAGAAGTTTCCCCAAAATACAGCTTCTTGGGGTCTATTGGGCAACGTGCTCCCATCATATAGTGATAAATCCTCTGTAAGAGATAGCAAACTCTACTGTCCTCTCCCCATTTGGTTTCCAGATCCTCCTCGGCCCTTTTGCAGTGCACCTCCTCTTGCAAATACCCAGTGAATTCATTTATTCCTCAGCCTATCAATCAGCAATAAAATAAACTAACTCAATCATTCAACAAATATTTACTGAGCATTTTCCATAAACACAGTACTGTATGTTAGGGATTTGGGATGTTCCTCCTGAGATTATTTGCATTTTAAAAGAGGAATGTATTTTTAATGGTGGAATTTTAAGCACTACTTCACAGAAATATATTGGAACCAATGCTTCACTGGTGTTCTTCAAATCATGCTATAGAAGCAACCTCCTCTGACACCTGTCTGGCAGATTAGTGCTGCTGAACACTGAGGGAAGTGGGTTCAGACAAATAAGAAAAGTTAAGTATAGGGAAGTTGGTGATTTTTTTTTCTTTTTGAGCTCTCAGCGATTTTAACCTGTCAGGCCACCTGAACACATGACGCTTTCTTTGAGCTTTAATAACCTGCTTTTAAAATTTCCTATTAACAGTTTCAAGTTCCAGCCTCATACCAGTTGTGTGGGCTTAGGTAAGCCACATGACCAGGATTCTGTTTCACCTACAGAATGGGGATAATGTTACATCATACAGAGGGAAAGGAGGGGAACAAAACATTGATGTGATGGAGAAAAATGTGGGGCCCCTGCAGTTTGTTGTGGAAAGCAGAGATGACTCTCCACAAGAGTAGGCCTATGTCTGTCGTACTCTCCTCTGTACCTCAAAACCTAGCAGAGTAGTGGGCACACAGTTGACACTCAATAAATAAATACCTGTTAAACTGAATTGAATTTGTTGGTGTTAATCTAGGCTTTCCTCGATGGGGACAGCATTCTGTTATATCCAGTAAGGTTCTGTATAGATTATACATATGTGAAAAAATTTTGACAATGTTATGATACTAAACAAATGTAAGTTCTTATAAAATTGCTCTTTTAGAAAATTCCCACATTTCTCAACTTCCATACTTACCCTGATGCATCACAGGAATAGTGCCAGTGAAATTCAGCAGGTCTTTTTGGGAACTATCTTTGAAAACTGGAAGCAAAAAAAAAGCCCCAAAATGTGCAATGAGAAATAAAATGCATGCATACATACAAAATCACACAACTTCTAAATACCATTTTCTGGGAATCAGTAAATATATTGGCAAGGGGAAATTACTAGGTGGTGTTCTCTTAGAAAGCAGAGCAGATGGTTGAAAGAACACATGACTTCGATACTGAAATTCCTACTTCTAGGCCCACTTTTCCTACTTATAGGTGATGGAAGAAATTTTCACATTTTGAGGTATAGGGAAGTATCCTGGCTTTTACATGATTTAACTTAAACTTTATGCTAACTAGAACAGCCTGCTTTGTGGCATGTTAAACATACATTGTTCATCTGCTTTAACCATTAAAGAAAAGGGTACACTGTCCAGAAGTAAAGAATGTCCATTTTGAAGATGGAAATAAATGCCTCCGTTCCTGGGACATCACTGCTATCACTCCTTTGATGATAAGGCTCCCTGCCCAGGCAAGGCCATGCTGACTCCCTGTGTGCATGCTCATCTGTCTTTTTTTTGAAACCCTGAAGGAATGGAATAGGGCCTATTATGTTTGATGTTCTTTGTTCAGGCAAGACAAAACTGCTGAAAATCATGCTGCTTTGGAATAGTTCTTCAGAGCTTTCTGAAAGGCTGTTTCTTGGGCTATAGTCCTCAGTTTGGCTCAAATAAAATTCTTTTCTATTCCTATTATAGACTGTTTATTGATTATTTTGGTCAACAGAGGCAAGTGAATTTTGGTTACTTTAATCTCTGACTTTCAGTGTCATCATCTATAAAATATAGATAATAAGACTGCATTATAAAGTTGTCATAAGGATCAAATGAGATAATGTGAAAATCCTAAATAGAAGTAAAGGATTATAAAATGTGGGGACATTATCAAATAACCATCACATGTAATACCAGTTATAATCATGTTCAGATATCACATTATAACTTTAATAGTCAGGAAAAAAGTTAGCTTTAATTTTGAAAGTGACCGTTTAGAAACAGTAATTATCTTCTTCGATTTCTCTAACTCCAATATTCTCAACCTTTTCTCAATCTTCACATCCCTGAAATTTCAACTTACCCGTATTAAATGGGACACACTGATGGAGAATTAATGCTCTAGTTTCTGAATTGAATACAGAAAACACTGGTTTCAAACTGTCAAACTGCCTTGGAATGCCTTTTAGGACCTCAGTAACTAACTATACTATTTAGGCAATGGAAGAAAAAAAGTCTAAATAGATCTGACGACCTATCAGAAAGGGAGAAAAGGAAAAGCCAGGCTGACAGAAAACTCAAGGCTAAGAGTGTACGTAAGTACAAATATTTACCTTGAACTATATGAGGGAAAGGTAACAAAGGGTGAAGGGAATTACTTTATGGCAAAAACTAAAATGGAAAGAGGAGTAGAACAAGGATTGTTTCTCAGGGACACAGAGGAACCTAGAAATGTAGTAGAGAAACAATATTACATTCATCATATAGTAAAATTATTCAAAAAGTCAAAATAGAAATGATTATGACACTTGACTAACATTCTCTTCAATAATAAAATGTACACTGACAATATTAATCCTATAGCTTAAGGGTTTAATGGCACCATAGCTTACCTTCTCTAGACAGGGGAAATGAGAATAAAAATTAACTGGTATATCAAAGCTCTAAATCTATATGCTGAAGAAAGACACTATAAAAGAACAAGTAGTATTCAAGCAGAGGGCAAGACGGACATGAGTACAACCTTCCACTAGCTGTGTAATCTTGATCAACTTATGTAAACTCTCTGAGCCTCAGTTTACTTGAAAAACATAGTAATACTTACCTCACAGCTTTGATTATTAAAAAAAGTAGTAAGATAATGCAGATAAAACACTTGGAAGCATATCTGATGTTCAAGAAATCGTAGCTGTTAAATCCCCCCATCTCAGGCATTCATGCAGCACCAAATACCTAGGTGCTAATTAAAGAGAGGCCAGACACAGATGGCCCAGAATCTAATCATTTCTTCCACAAATAAAATTAGCTATTCCTAAGAAATACTTCAATAACTCCTCAAAATTTCTAATACATAAATCTGAATTAGATATATTTTCCTAACCCAAGCTAATTCAAATATAAAACATACCCATGTAGAGCAAATAAGTTTTTTTTTCTTCAAAACTATGTGTTGTGACTAATTCATGGGTCCTGAAATCAATTTAGTGAGTTTCAATCAGCATTTCTTTTTTTTTCAAAGTGGTAAAAAGACAGTTTATTGCTAGAGAAGAGATCTGAAGAGGAAATTATCTGTCTCTTTTTTTTTTAACTTTTTTAATTGAGTAATAGTCATTTTACAATGTTGTGTCAAATTTCAGTGTAGAGCACAATGTTTCAGTTATATATGAACATACATATATTCATGGAATGGAAGAGAAGAGAAAATCCATGGTGTATATAATATTTTAATTATTTATATATGGAGTTATGATATAAAATGTATTTCCAAGTGTAAGTTGTGGTCAGAAATTTTGAAAGATAGTAAAATCTTTCCTAGGTAACTAGACCCTCTACATAAAGTAAAGATAACTAAAACTTTGTTATTAATCCTGAATCAATCATAGATGTGGTAGGCAAAATAACAGCCTCCAAAGATGTCCAACACCCTAATCCTTGCAACTCATGAATATGTTAACCTTACTCAGCAAAGAAACTTTTGAGATGCAATTACGTTAAGGACTCTAAGATGGGGAAATTACCCTGTATTATTAGAATGGGCCTAATCCAATCACACTAGTTCTTAAAAGCAGAGAAACTTTTCTCTGGAGATCTAACTACAGAAGGATGATCGGAGAAATACAACATTGCTAACTTTGAAGACGGAGGAAGGTGACCTCAAGCCAAAGAATGTGGGTGACCTTTAGAAACTAAAAAGGCAAGAGAACAGATTATGTCCCAGAGCCTCCAGAAAGGAACTAAGACCTGCCGATACTTCTAACCTACAGAGACCTGTGTTGGGATTCTATCCTACAGAACTGTCAGATAGTAAATATGTATTGTTTTAAGCCACTAAATTTGTGCTAATTTGTTATAGCAACAATAGAAAACTAATACAATATATATTTTATTAACTTAACTTTCCTCAAAAGCCACAGGTAATAAAGTGTAGTTCAAACTCAGGGAATAAAAGAGAAAATGAGAAATTATAAATTTATAGCTCTCTAGGAACAAATAATTAATAGTTTAAATAATACAGCAAAAGCTAGAGGATATGATTCTTACCATAGGTATCCATGGAATATCTGAAATGTGGGAAAAACATATTTACATTCTTCAGTTCTTCCATAGTTAGATCCCTGAATTTGTACTGAAAAGAGAAAAATGAGCATGGAGTAAGAATAAAAGTATAAGCAGCAGAACAATTACAAATTAACATTTGACTGAACCCTTACTCTGGGCTCTGAGTTTTACAAACATGAAAAGTATTTGATTTAACCTTTTTAATAACGACCCTATGATTTAGGTAAGGCTTATAACTGCTCTCCTTTATAGAAGAGGAAAATGAAAGCTAGAGAATCAAAATAACTTGCTGAGTTAGATAGCAAGTTAAGTAGTGAAGCCAGAGCTCAAACTGAGGGCCTAGCCTTTAACCACTAAACCACACTGCCTCCAAATACATTCTGAAGGCTTAAGAAATAGGGCAGGTTGTAGCAGCCATCATCACTGTTTAAGATCCACTTGTCATTCTTCAATATTTCATCCACTTGAGATACCCTTCCTGGTACTGGAACTGGGTTTCAAAGGGAGAACAGAAAACATGTAAGGGTTTGTGGTCAGGTTGAGTGAACTACCTCTTCATTCATCCAGATGTAGTCCCAGAAATACTACCTTGGTTGCCTTGTGGGCAAAATCATTTATCCTCTTTGAACTTATTATCTCAATTGTGCAGAGAAATTATACCCACCTCCTAGACTTGTGCTGAGGATTAAATGAAGAAAAAAAAAAGGATGTGAACAGTTTATTACCATCTTGAAAAAGAAACTAAAAACAATTATGTTTACAGTGGCACAACAGCTTCAAAAAATAAAATAAAAAACACTTAGGAATACATTTAACAAGATGCAAAACCTAGACACTAAAAACTATAAAGCATTGTTGAAGTAAATTAAAGTACATCTAAATAAATAGAAAGACAACCCTTGTCAATAGATCAGAAGAGTTAATATTGCTAAGATGGCAATAATCCCCTACAGATTCAACAGTCAACAATCCATATCAAAATCCCAGCTGCCTTTTTTTTGCTTGTTTGCAAAAATTTACAAACTGATCTTAAAATTCACATGGAAATTCAAGGAACCCAGCCAAAACAATCTTAAAAAGAGAACAAAGTCAGAGGATTTATACTGTACTAAAAAGACAGTTTATAATAAAAAAAAAAGGCAGACAATAACAAGTGTGGGAGAGGATGTGGAGAAATCAGAACTGTGGTAAAATGGTGCAGCTGCTTTAGAAAGTCTGGCAATTCTTCAAAAGATTAAACACAGAGTTACCACATGACCTAGCAATTCCACTCTGCAATATATACCCAAGCAAAATGAAAACACGTCCACACAAAAACTTGTGCACAACTGTTCATATTAGCATTATTCATAATAGTCAAAAAGTGAAATCAATCTAAATGGCCATCAACTGATGACTAAAGTGGGATATATCCATAAAATGGAATATTTAGCCATAAAAATAAAGAACTGATACATACTGCAACATGGTTAAGCCTTGAAAACACCACGCTGAATGAAAGCAGACGGACACAAAAAGCCACATATTGTATGCTTTGCATGTAAAATACCCCAAATAGGCAAATCCACAGAAACAAAAACTAGATTAGTAAGTGCCAAGGGCTGGAGAAAATATAGAATAATTGATCCTGTTTCCTCTCTCTGAGACTTAAGTTTTTCATCTGCAAAAGAGATATAGCTCTACTGCCTCCCAACTTCAACAGGTATGTATGAAGATCTCACCATTAACATATGTAAAAGTGAGATATTAAACAAAATATGTATACAGTAGTAAGTACAGACAGGAAATGATCGATCAACATAAAGTACACCTAAGTTACAGAAAGGCCTCCGAGAAGAACTGTCTGCAATTCACATTAGAGCCTAGAATGGTACAGAAAATTAGAACTAAGGGGAAAGGTCATTTTAAGATGGAAAAGAATTTGGCAGAAGAAGGGGGTGGGGATGGGAAGGGACAGACTGGGATTTTAAAATGCAGAATAGATAAACAAGATTATATTGTATAGCACCGGGAAATATATACAAGATCTTGTGGTAGCTCATAGCGAAAAAAATCTGACAATGAATATATATATGTTCATGTATAACTGAAAAATTGTGCTCTACACTAGAATCTGACACAACATTGTAAAATGACTATTACTCAATTAAAAAAATGTAAAAAAAAATAGATGAACAACAAGGTTCTACTGTACAGCACAGGGAACTATATTCAATACCTTGTAATAGCCTATAATGATAAAGAATATGAAAAGGAATATATATATGTGTGTGCAACTTAACCACTATGAAACTAACATGACATTGTAAGCTGACTATAATTCAATAAAAATATTTCTTAAAAAAAAAGGATTTGGCAGAAGAAAAAACATATAGTTATTAACAACTTGAGGACAGAAATCATCTCTCACTCATCTTTGTATCTCCCCAGAGAACTGAGCACACAGTATAACTTCAATAAATGTAGGCTAATTGGATGGGAGTCAGCAGAGTCAGATTTATATGAGTACAGTGGATATAGAAAGCAATTATGATCCACAAGACTGAGCATCAAAACTAAGAATTGTCAGTATTAACTACAGCATGGTAAAAGGAGTCCCAGATTCGGTGTCCCTGATTCAGTGGAAAACAAAAGTGAATGAAATCATCCCAACTCCAAACACTACACAAATGTACAAAAGGCTGCACTGTTGTCACCTAGAATACAGATTATAAACCAAAACAATTTTTTGTTGTTTTCTACTTGATATTATAAGCTATTTTCTACATCCTTAATATCCTATGAGAAAGTGATGATTAATGGCTGCATAGGGATATATACCAGAATTGATCTAACTGCCATACTGTTGTAAAAGTTTGTCAAAAGAGGACAAAAGCACTCTTTCTTAGGGCTTGAAAACCCAAATGTCACTATTAGTCAAATATGTGATTTCTTTTTGATGCCTTAAAAAAAGACCTATTTTATCTGTCCTAAAAAAAAAATCAGGTCATTTTCACTATATATGAAATATCCTCTCAGTGTAATATTAAGTCATTTTCCACTACTATTCTATACCACCTAAGAGAAGTCTTCATAACATTCTCTAAGGAATATGCCTAAGACAATACCACATGCTTAAAGGGTGCAGGGAGGAAACTAGAGGAAAATTGGCCCATGAGATTCTAAAACTAAAGCAATTATACTGTCATAAAAATCAGCGAGACTGAAACATTGAGAAGTTACTAAAATTTTTACTTTATCTGCTATACAACGTTTATTGAATAGACTAATATTTACAAACATCAAGAGTACTCTTACATGACATTATACAAATGTTGGACACACTAAGGAATACTTTGTGGCATCATTTCATAAAAAAATTAATTTAACAGGAAGGAATCTTATGGATCAGGTCCAATCCTATCATTTTATGAGTTAGCAAATCTAGGATAAGTTACCTGTTTAAGGTAACTCAGTCAAGGGAGTAGGAAATAGGAATTAGGGGTGCAGTTTTTCTAAACTTAGTATTTAATACAAACTAAAGGATATATACACATGTATACATATATGTAGATATATACAAATTCTGAAGAATAAACACTTGTGTACCAACCCACCTATGTTTGATCTAGAACAGTGCTATCCAACAAAACTTTCTGCCATGATGAGAAAGATCATTAAGTGTGCTGTCCAATACAGTAGCCACAAACCACAAGTGGCTACTGACACTTGATATGCAGCTGGTGCGACTGAGAAACTCAGTTTTTAATTTTATCTAATTTGATTAATTTAAATAGCCACACATGGCTCATGGCTACCATACTGGACCGCACAGACCTTTCCAATATCATTACATTTGTCTGGGAACTCCTCTCAACCACTCAACTGCCTACCTTGAATTGAGCAGTCATATTCCTTTGCTTTTGCCCTTCATAGTTTTAATTACATTTGTGTGCATCCCTAAACAACATACTGTTTATTTGTTTAGCTGTGTTTCTTGGTTTAATCAAAGTATAATTTTGTATACAACCTACAATTTTTTTACTCAACAAAATGTTTCTAAGATTCAGTTGTATTGCTGCATGTTGCTGCTCATTCACTTTCACTGCAGCTTAGTAGTGTTTTCCATTGTGTGAATGTATATACAGTAAGTTATCTTTCCCTTTGTCAATGCATATTTGGATTGTTTTTAATTTCTTAGTTAGGAATAATTCTGCAAATATCTCTTGCTTCATATATTATGAATTCTCTATGGTATCTATCTAGATGTAGAAGGTACATAAAACACACATAATCAAATTAATAAAATAAGGCCAAGTTGCTTCCCCAAAAATGAAAGAACCATTTAACCACCAGCAGTGTTCAAAATTCCCATTCATCCACATTCACCAAGTCATTTGAAATTATCTTAATTTATGCCAATCCAGTGAGAGAAAATGGTGTTTTACTATGGTCTCAATTTTCTTTTCATTTTTTTCTTTTTTTTTTTTTTTTTGTATTTGCCAATCCCAAATTTATTCCTCTCCCTGCCACCACATTCCCCTCTGGTAAGCACAAGTTTGTTTTCTATCTGTGTGAGTCTGTTTTGCAAATAAGTTCATTTGTATCATATTACGATATTTGTCTTTCTCTGTCTGACTTTACTTAGTATGATAACCTCCACGTCCATCCATGTTGCTGCAGATGGCATTACTTCATTGTTTTTTATGGCTGAGTAGTATTCCACTATGTTTGTGGAACACACACACACCCTCCCTGCAGATTCTTTATCCATTCATCTGTTGATGACCACTTAGGTTGCTTCCATGTTTTGGCTATTATAAATAGTGCTATGAATACTGGGGTGCATGTATCTTTTCAAATTAGTTTCAAACTAGCAGTGTGGAGGTTCCTTAAAAAACTAAAAATAAGAGTTACCATATGATCCAGCAACCCCACTCCTGGGCATATATCTGGAGAAAACTCTAATTTGAAAACTCAATTTGCTTTTCCAGTAAGTTACTAATGGACTGAGCAAATATTCATTTCCCTGTTTCTTCTTTTGTTTTTTTAAAAATTATTAATGTATTTTGTCCAATTCTCCCTTGGTTTTAATATTGATTTGTTGGCTAATTTATATATTCTGGATACTAATATTTTGTCAATTATGTATTACAAAATAATTCTTCAAGTCTGTATTTTGCCTCTTCACTCTTGTCATGGAGCTTTTTGATATACAGAAGTTCTTAATTGAATGCAGTCAAATTTATCAGTCTCTTGAGTATTTCACATCTTGTTTAAAATATGTTTGCATACTCTGAGTCCATAAAGATTCTTCCCTATATTTATGTCTATACACCTTAAAGCTTGTCTTTTACATTTAAATCTTTAATCCATGGGGAATTTTTATGTTTGGTAAGAGGTAAGGGTCCAATTTCATTTTCTCCTATATAAATAATTATTTGTCCTTGCATTCTCCTTTCTGCAGTCATCTGCAATGCCTCGTCTGCTTTATATCATATTTCCAAACATGTGTGAAAATAATTCTAAGCCCTCTAGTCTGTTCCACTGATTAATTTGTTTATCTTATACCAATACCACACTAAATCTCAATTACTAGTCTTGACATCTGGTACAGCCAAGTCCCCACACCTATTCTTCTGGAAGAAATGTCAAGATTATTCTTAGCATTTCCCTTCCAAATGAATTTCAGAATCAGTTTGAAAAGTTCCGAAAATACCCTGTTACAATTTTCCCTGGAATTGCAATGATTCTATAGATCAGTCTGCAGAGAGCAAACATCTTCACATCCATAAAGTTAGAATACTTATTTAGGTTAGAATATCATTTTTCAATAAGATTTTTCATGTTCTCCATACAGTTGCTTTATTTTAATGTATCATTCACAAATTTTTCAGCACAAAAATTATTTCTAGATATTATTATATTATTTGCTTAGTTTGAGGGCTAAGGAACATCAAAAATCTGCTAGACGGACTTATTTCAAACTTGTTAATTTACACATCCAACAGATGTTCATTAAGCACCTATGTGCCAGACTCCACGCTGAGCACTGATAAAACAAATAAAACCTTCCTCAACTATTCTCCCATTATTGAGAAAATCACTCTTTTTTGTCTTTTTTCTGCATTCCAATTCCACCAAACTTCTTTTTCTATTCTCCACTTTAGTAATTCTTCTCCCTGGACAATACATCATGCTCTCCTCACTGAAAAACTTGATAGAGTGGTTCTTTTAATTTCATGTTCTCTAAAGAGGAGGCAGGGTATAATCTTAAGCACGATGATACTTTTCTTCCTACAAGTTCTAAACCGGTCACAGTAGATAAAATCATTCAAATCAAGTATATAAACAATTTCGGTTATAAGGCTTCAAAATCTCAAAGGGGTGTACAAACTGCCCCAACAAAGACACAGGCAAAGCCAACAAAAATGGCTTAATGTATGGTTTTTCACATGGGTAAGTCTTAAGAAGCATTATGAATCACTTAACCAAGAAACTGGTGAAAAAGGTGGTTGCCTCAGACTGTAAACTGGTGGGGAATCAGCCTGGCCTTACTTGGAAACGGACGTTAGTCATGCCCTAGAAATGCAGGTCAGACCTCCCACTCAACCTTTCAAAGTTAAGAAAATCTCTTCTGGAACTTCCAGCCTTGTCTTCATTCCTATATGTTATCAGGCCTTTCATTCACTGCACAGTTACTCAGCACCTCCGCTGTTGTCAGGCACAGGGCTGGGTGAAGGAAATACAACACTGTCTCTGTGGTCAGAGTTCACCGCCCGAGTAAGGTTTGTTAAATAACTGATTACTCCACAATGTGATAACCGATATTTCTGAAAGCAAGTAGAGACAAAGGAGTTATTCTATCTTCCAGGAAGCGACATATGAGTGTCTTACAAAGGATGAGCACTGCAAGTAAAAAAAAAAAAAAGGTTGGGGGAAGGCCATCTCAGCAGAGAGGCGTGGTTACAGGGGCAGGCGAGCGCTGGAAGCTGTTTGAGACCAAGAGAAGCTAGTGGCGTGAGAAGGTCTCACAGCGGGTGGAGGCTGGGGGGACCTCAGAGTAGCGGGCGGAGCCAGAGCCCCGGCCTCGGGAGGGAGAGGCCCGCGGCCTCCCTGGGGCCATTCCCCGCAGCCGGCTTCAGGCCAGCCTACCCAGCTCCAAGCCCCAGGAAAAGCCAGGGAAACGCCGCGATGAGACGGCCTGGCCAGAGATAAACGCCCCCAGACCCCCAGCTGCCCGCACCTTGCCAAGTAGTCGTCTCAGACCCTCGCTGTCGAACTCCATCTCCAGCCAGGACGGCGAGCCAGGTTCGGAGTGCCTAGTCCTTGGCCCTTCTTCCGCACCGTTCCTGGACGGAGGCCGCCGAGGACCACACTTCCCGAGCGGTCCGAGGCCCCGCCCCTTCCCAGACTCTTAGGTCCACCCACATCCTACGCCCCAGGCTCCGCCCGGAGTCTGACCACCCACCTCTCCACCGCGAACCACGAACGCAGTCAGAAACGCGTGAGCACCAAGGGAACCACGACCCAGCTTGCTGGGAAGAAACTTGGGGACATCTGTGAAGAGAGAGGAATAGGAAGACCCGAGGAGAAGCAGTAAAGGAGGTAGAAGATATTGGCTCTGTTCTGGGACAGAGTTTCGAGAAGGATGTGTTAAATTCAGCAGTGTATGGAGAAAGACCAAGACCCAAAATTGTAGTTGGATTTAGGAACGGAGAGGTACTGGAACTTCAAAAGCAAAATTTCAGGAGGGTAGAAAGGAAACCGGAGGCAGGAAAAGCCTTGTCAGAACTGGGAGATAAAACAGCTGAGTGAGGGTGGTGCATCAGGGGAGGGGTTGGCTTTTTTGGAGGGATGCGGGGTGGGAAGCATAACCATGTTGGTGGTAGAGAGAGGAAAAAGCTAGGTGAGAAAAAGAGTTTGAAAACAAAAGGAGGTAGCTTGGCGGATAAGGTCATCTGGAGAAGGAAGCCAAAGAGATGCAATTTGCTGACTTTGGTCTCCTTGAGTGAGTTACTTACCTGCTTTGCATCCCTAGTTTGAGCCATTGGGCCTAAAAAGTAGCAGGAGCTGGCTATTGTAATGTCAAGAGGCTGAGTGGACGAGAGGGTGGTTGTATTTATAGGAAGAGCCAAAGGTAGGGATGCTTTTAGGAGAAAAAGTGAAAGGCTGGAAGAAGCGTTTATTCATTCAGTAAACTTTTGTTGAGGACTGGCTATTTGCTAGATATTGTGAAAGAGGAATACATTTTCCTTTACCCTTTTAGCTTCTTCTAGATGGTCTAAGAATTAAATTGACATGAGATAAATTAACAGGAGAAAATCAAACAAAAGTTGGTGCTATGTATGCCTGCGAGAGACCTAGAACTGAGTGGCTTGCCAAAATGGCTAAAGCCTTCACCTTAAATACTATCTTCAGCTAAAAGGCAAAAGAGGATTTTGGGGGTTGTGGTTTGAGACTTCAAAGGGGAGAACAGCAATTCACATGGAGATAGAAAGTAAATGTTTGGTAAACAAATGTTTGTGGGCCTTGCAGAGACCTCCAGACTCTGATCTCTAGGTTCTGCCGATTCCCCCTTCCCCCAACACCTAACCCACGTTCTTTGCAGATACCTCTGGTGATAGCTTAATTAGGGGGACAGGTCCTCCATCTAAATTCTTTTAGGCAGTTAGGAGGAGGGTGAAAACAATAACTCTTCCTGGGTGTGTTGAGCCTTAAAAATAATCATCCTAAATTAATCCTTCTGCCAGAGACACATTTTAGGCTGGCAAAATTTCCTCCCCTACAATATTTTTCTAGGTCTGAGGATACGGCAGTGAACAAAATAGACAAAACTATCAGCTGTCCTAAGACTGCCATTCTTTCATTAGTAGGAGAGTGAAACAATAAATAAGTTAATTAGACTGCATGTTGGAAGGTAATTAAGTTTTTGTTTTTACTTTTAAATTTTTTAAAAGGCAGAGTCAGGAGGGTAGGTTTCCTTGAGGTGAGAGAGTAAGCATTCCATACTACAGTGCATACAAAGCGAAGACCTAAGACAGACCTATTCTTGGGGAGACTCAAAACAGCAAAAATGCTAAGTCAGAAATAAGGGAGAGCCACAGATGGTTTAGGACAATGATTCTTCCAGTGTGGTCCCCAGGCTTACAGCCTCAGTGTCACCTGGAACTTGTTAGAAATATAGATTCTAAGGCCCCACCCCAGACTTAAGAATTGCAAACTCTGGAGGTGGGTCCAGCAATCTGTTTTAACAAGCCCAGGTGATTCTAATACATGATAAAACCTGAGAACCACTATGGGAGCTTTGTAAACAATTGTGAGTCTGCTTTGTCAGCACCCTCCCACCAGTGATTATCAGGAATACACTCATATTTAAACAAGTTGGGTTGCTTACTCCTTATGGTGAGGGAGCAGATCCTGTGGAGAACCACTGAGACAGCTGAGTAAAAGTAAAGAAAGAACCTATTGTAGGATGCAGGCTTTGGGTGATTTGGGGGAGGGTTTAAGGAATTGAAACTTTACTTTAGATCAGGTGCTGTCAGGAGGCAGGGAGAATTCTTTGATTGGGTATTTCAATAAATGTCATCTCTCAGATGGGCAAACCAGTGCAGGCGTGGATAAGGCTACAATTGGTAAAGAAGCAGTAGTCCCTCACAGTAGCAGAGAGACGAGGATGTTTGGTATTTCCTGGGTTGCACACTGACCTTGTTTTCTCTCTTCTTAGACAAAATTATGATGTGGCCTTGTTTTGTCTCATTTTATCGTGGTCTGAATGACCCTGTCTGATGTTGGTGTTCTGAGAGATTGTTTATATCCAACAGGAGACTAACATAGCCTGGCTGTGAGGGCCAGGTCAGCTTCTAACAACACTGAGACTAGCTGTGTCAGTCCAGTTTCCAGATGAAGGGACTGTTTCTTTCTTAGGCTTTTGCTCTGAGAGACAGAGGAAGCTACCACAGGATTTTGAACAGAGGAGTGATGTGACCTGGCTGAGCTATAAAAGAATAAGTCTGACTGCTGTGTTGTGACAAGACTGTATAGGGGAGCAAGGGGTGGGGAGTCGGGGGTGGAGAGTGGAAACTTGGAGACAGGGTTGGAGGTGAGAAGACTGAAGGGTTAGAGGCTTGTTAAGAACACTTCAGCCATATCTAACAGTCTTCAGAAACAGTGGAACTTCCAGGGAGTCTAAGAGCTAATAGATCCTGTCAGAAATCCATTAATCAAGGAAAAGCTATCAAATTAAATGTGAGGCCTGAGCAAGGTTCTTCAATCTTTTATGAGTCTTTTATGGAAGAGGCCTTCCATCCAAACCACCAGTTCTCTTCTGGTTTAATCACTATGAATGAATTACAGGCTCTGTGAACACTTTATGCCTCTGTGAATGTGTGTGTGTGTGTAGCTATCCTTTCCTATGTGGAAGGTATATCGCTAAAAGTTTTATGTGCTTTTTTGCAGTTAATCTTTATAAAACCCTATGACTGAAACGGAATTATTATCAATTATTATCTCAGTTTTACTGATGAGCAAACTGAGGTTTAGTAAAGTATTACCTATTTCCCTGTTTCTGAGATCCTGTTGAGTAACAGATGTATTACTGACAATGTTTTGAGGGAGAAAAGATTACAGAATTAAATATACATACCAATTTTAACGTTTAGACCTAACTGAAAAGAGCTTAAATGTAAAAAGTGTACACCTTAAAATAGAGGGTATATGGTATAATTGGCTACATTTTACAGATAAGGAAACAAAGACTCAGGAGATTAAATTATTGCAGAAGGTGATGTCAGACACCATGTTCCTAATCTGTGCATTATGCTGCCTCTCATAATGTGGGAAGCTGTGATGAAAATTTGTCTTTGAAAATCTCTAGGAAGCTGGAATTCTGTACCTATATTTACTTAGCCATAAGAGGAAAACTGTATAGTACAAACATTAGCTGGCTTCCAGTATGACCCACCTTTATCTCTTAAAACTGGTGCTCCTAGATCCTGTAATCTACCCAGGCTGAAACACTCAATCTTCCACAAGACACTGTGTCTTCCTCCCTGCCTTAGCGCCTGGCTGGGGTATTTTACTGTACTGGTGTCCCTGTCTACTTCCATCTCCACCCCCTCTTTCTGTCCCAAGAAACTGAGGCCCTGTCAGATCTCATTTATCTCTATATTCCTGATGCCTGGGGTGCTTGAATTTATGCATGTCTTCATTCTTCTAATATTTGGTAAGCCAGATACAAAGAGGTCTTCAACAGAAAGTTTGCTGAATGAATGAAAGTGTAAGGGGACCTAAGCCATAGGGGGAAGATGGTATAGGTATAGTCTACTAGTTCTCAGACTTATTTGAGTTTCAAGCTTTAAAAAAAAAAATCTGTTGAAAGATATAGACCTGTCCCAGAAAAATACACATGGTGACATATTACAGTCCATTATGTGTCCAATTCAGAAATGTTCATGGATCCCCTGAAGCCCATCTCTGAACCCTAGCTGAAGAAATTCAGATATAGTTGGTGGGAGCATAACCTGCTGCAACCTTTGGACAGAGTAATCTGGCATACCTTTACCTCCATAACCTCACTTTTGGGAATCTGTAAAAGTACCAGGATATATGTACAAAGATGTTAAATATATTAAAAGGAAAAGAAAATCCCCAAGCTAAGAAATGGGAGAAGTGTATACTCTGCATCTTTGTTTGCAGCTTGAGAAAAAGCACAAGAATGGCTTGTTTAAAATTAGAATTTTTTTCTTGGTGCTCTGCTTCTGATCTCTGTTTACACTCTTTGCTTTCATAGTTATGGGTCCTATCAGACGCACTGCTTAGGGATGAAACCTTGGTATTCTGAATATCAGACAGATATATCCTTATCATTTACTTCTTAAATTTTTTAAAATTGTAAAATACACATAACATACAATTTAACATCTCAACCTTAAGTATACAGTTTAGTGGTATTAAACGCATTTATAATGCTTTGCAGCCATCACATCTGTCCCCATAACTCTTTTCGTCTTGTAAAACTGAAACTCTGTACACATTAAACAGTAACTCCCCATTCTCCCTTCCCTCCAGACCCTGGCCACCACCATTCTACTTTCTGTCTCTATGATTTTGACTACTCTAAGTACCTCACCAATGGAATAGAGAGTCCAGAAACAAACCCTCACATATGTGGTCAATTATTTTGGACAAAAGTGCCAAGACCATTCAATGGGAAAAGGACAGTGTTTTCAGCAAACGGTGCTGAGAAAACTGGATATCCCTAAGCAAAAATTAAGTTAGATCCTTATCTAACATCATATACAAATATTAACTCAAAATAGATCGAAGACCTAAATATTAGGACCTAAAACAATAAAACTCTTAGAAGATAACATAGGACAAAAGCTTCATGACATGGAATTGGCCATGATTTCTTGGATGTGACATCAAACACATAGGCAACAAAAGAAAAAAATAGATGAATTGGACCTCCTGAAAATTTAGAAATTTTATTCATCAAAAGACAGTATCATTTACTCCTTAGATATGTGGAGCTTATATTGTTGTTCATTGGCCGACAGTCAGCGTTATGCTGTATCTCAGGCTGTCCTTCCACAAATGTCCTTTGTTTTTATGGCCGTGTTTTCATGCCCTTGTAAAATGAAACTGCAATCTTTCTTTTCTTAAACTAGTTTTCTTTTGTGAGGATTTTATTATAGCCCCTCCATTTTCATGCTCTATCTGAACTGGCATACATTTCTTGTCATTTTGCTGCTTCTCTGGTTTAGTAAAAAAGTGGCAATGCTTAAGGGAAATTTGTCTAAGAAATTTTGTCTTTAATAATCCCAGCATTGTTTATGGTGGTAAGAAGTTGGGAAAAAATCTAAATGCATATTGTGCCAGTGACTAATTTATTGCTATTCAGTTCCAAATCCACCATTCATTGCTTGCTGTGCTGTAATGGAATGTTGGGGTGATACTGCAGGAAGGAGAGACTTCCTAGTTCCAGTGTGCTTTTGTTCTTCTTGGTCCTACTGTGTGGCTGCCAGTGGCATGTATGGGGATGTCCAGTGGTGCTCACCTCTGCTGAGTTTCAGGTGCCCCTCTGCTAGTGATACAGTTTGCCAGTGAGTTCTTCCTGCACCCTACAGGGTGGCCTCTCAGCACATTCTGCTGTCATACCCCCAGAGGGTGGATTCCCAGCAATAAGCAGTAAACCTGACAGACGTTCCCCACTTCTGGAGACTTCTCAGCAAATTCCACCAGCACCTGGTTGCCTACGTACCAAGTCTCGCCTGCAACAGGTCATTGGATTTCCCTACTATCCAGTTGGTCATAACCACTACTTCTCCAACAAGTTTTGTATCTCAGCCCTGGAGGGGAGAGGACTTTTCCAAGTTTGTTCCTTCCTTGGGTATTTTGCCTCATCTCTAGAGGTGGTAGCTTCTCCCTATATATGCTATTCCTCTAATATGTAGAGATTTCTACCTCTTTGATTAATCTCTTGTTCCCAGTTAATTCTTTTTATTAAACTTCTCCGTTCAGATTACTCTGTGGTTTCTAAATCCTGGCTAGATCTTGACCAATATATCCATTATTAGGAGAAAGATGAAATATACATGGAGTATTTTGCAGGAATTGAAAGGAAATTTAAAAGATTTCTGCTTCTGTCTATGAAGGATCAACTGCAACAGGAATTGTCGCTTCTCCATAAACAAATAGAAGATTGCATAAAATACATGAAATAATTGTTTTCAGATTTTACCCAAGGGGCAGCCGCAGACTGTGAACTTTGAAAGGAAGGAAACAAAAGAGATGAGCCTTACAATTGCCCCAGCCTACTGCCCGGAGGCAGTTTTCAGACTGCAGCAGAGAGGGGAGTTATCCAAACCAGGCTGAGCTGAAAAAATAAGTAGTAGCATACCAAGATGGCCAGAGTGCCAGGAATTTGCAGGATGGAGTCCTGAAAAGAGGCAATTCCACAGAGAAAAGAATTCTGGAGATCTCCACAGGGGCTCTTGTGAGTCTTTGGCTGAGTTCTACCTGTGCATGGAAAGGATAAAACTCCATGAAGCCAGGAAAAGAACCACCCAGAAACTATAGGCCAAACACTTCCTGGAACTCCCAGCTGCTGGGAGTTGTGGAAAATTCTAGATTGGAAATACCTAATGCAATGGGCATCAGAGAGATTGCTCAGAAGGCTCATAGCTCAGTAGTTCAAATAATTATCCCTAGAGTAGAGCCTGCTCTTGGCCCACAATAACAAAGTTTAAAACAAGTCTCAGAAGAATCAAACTGATCCCAGGTAACTTAACTTCATCCCAGAAGAAAACCCAATACTGTTGAAAGGAATAGAATTAAATCCAGTACGCAGCACTGTAATATTCAACATGTTGAACATCCAACCAGAAGTTACCAGGCATTCAAAGAAGCAGGAGAATATCGCCTACAACAAAGAGAAAAATCAGCCATTGAAATAGCCCCAAAAGTGACAGAGATGGTAGATTTGACACAGGGTCCTTAAAATGTTTATTTTCAATCTTACAAATATGCTCAAGGATGTAAAGGAAAACATGAATGTGATGTACAGAAAAATGAAAGAATTAAAGAAATTGGACTTCTAGAGATGAAAAATACAGCATCAAAATTAAAATACACTGAATGGGATTAACAGAAGATTGGAAGAGTAGGGTGAAAGATGAGTAAACCTGAAAAAGACAGCAATAGAAACTATCCAAAATGAAACACAAAGAGAAAAAAAGAATGAATGCAGTACCAGCAAACTGGAACAATCTCACACTGGTTACAATGGTTTAATACACATGTAACGGAGATCACAGAAGGGGAAAGTGGGCATAGAAAAAAATATTTGAAGAAACAATAGCCAAACATCTTTCCAATTTGATGAAAACCATAAACCCACAGATTCAAGAAGTTCATCAAACTCCACATAGAAGAAACATGCAGAAAATTACCAAAGCCATCTCAAAATAAAATTGCTGAAAATCAGTGACAAAGAGGAAAATTTTTAACTTTCCCTATGATCCAGCAATCCCCCTCCTATGATTTACACTACAGAAATTAAAACATGTTTACTTAGAAAGCTATACACACATATTTATAACATCGCTATTCAAACTAGAAACAACCATAGTGTTCTTTGACAGGAACATTGATAAAATGGTACACCCATACAGTGGAATCATATTCAGTAATACAGAACTATTGTACAACATGAATGAATCACAAAAGCATTAATGCTCAGTGAAAGAAACTTATGATTCCATTTATGTGAAATTCTGAAAAAATGCAAAAGCAGATCAGTGGTTGCCAGGGGCCAGTGAATTCACGGGGAGGGGACTGACTATAAAGGAGTGTGGGGAACCTTTTGAGATTATCACAATTTGTTCCATCATGATTGTGGTGGTAGTTACAAGATTGACACATTTTTAAAAACACATCAACCATACACTAACTATGGTGGTATTTTGTCACATGTAATTTATACCTCAATAAAACTTACTATTAGAAACAAAAAAGGAATGTGTTTAGTTTTTTTTTATCAATTTATCAATCCAGGAGGATATCCATGATGTATTGTTGTAAGAGAAGAGCAAGTTATATAGTAGCATATGTAGTATGATCAGCTTTGATTAAAAACACTGAAAAGCCGCCTCTGTATCCCTCTATATGTATAGTGATGTTTTCAAGCTTGGGAGAAGTCTTTGGCAGGATACAGGCTAGGCAGGTAACATTGATTATATGATGGGGTTGAGAAAGAGGGGAAGAGTATTACCTTTTTCTTTATACATCTTTGGATGGTCATGTATTTTACAATGAATACCCATTGTATTAATAATTTTAAAAAATAACGAAAATAAAGGGGATATGAAAATAATAGGGAGATGTGTGTGTAGGAAGAACTCTGGTAGACAGGGGTCCACCATGTCAGTGCAGGGAGGTCATAGGGAAGGAGATGAGGTTGTTCAACTTGACAAAAAGGAGATCTTTGGTAACCTCCAAGAGAACGTCTAAATAGTGGGGTGTGGGCAGATGTCATAATCTGATGTATGGAACAAGGTATGAACTGGAATGAAAGGCTTTGGGTGTGGACCACTTGTTTAGGAAGTTTGGTCGTAAAAGGAAATTAAGAGATGGGACAGTGGCATTGAGCTGCAAGTGACACCTTGAAGGTGAGAGCCACCTTTGCCCAACAGCTGGAAGGAAAATGGGACCTCAGTCCTAACAACTGCACAGAACTGGGGGGAAAAAAAAGGAGGAGGGGACAGTTAGGAATGGAGGCACATCATCAGTTGGAGTTTTTTGTGAGGAGAGGACAAGGACAAAAAAAAGAGAACCAGTGGAGAGGCACTGACCATAGGTGTTAAAGAATGGTATAAAATGGTGGTTTGACAGCCTTTGAGTTGGGAGGGAAGGGTTGCAGGGACAGAAATAAAGAGACTTCTCATTTCCCTAGAATCCAGTTTGTTTCGTTCACAGCTGTCATAGACCTATGAACACTCCTTTCCTTCCCAGTCCCTGTCTCTAGTCTAAAGAGCCCAACTTCCTAACAGGCACCTGGGCCCTGATCTGGAGCATCAGCTGTGTGACCCGGTACAGGTCACTTAGGCCCTGCCTCAGTTTTCTCATTGGTGAAATGGGGTTGACAATAGTACCTACATTATTGTGAGACAGTGCATACAAAGAGCTTAGTTTGCTGCTCAGCTACTGGCCTGGGGGCAGTCTCTCTGATGTGTTGTGGGTCTGGGCCACAGGGTCAATGATGTCACAATGCCCTACTAGACTCCAACTTCTCTGCTAGGGATTTGTGGATCCTTTGGAGCTTAGGACTGGAACTGACATGCGAGACCTCTACCAACTGAGGGTTTCATGAGCATACTCCTTTGCCACAATCTTGGTGAATAGTCTTTCACTGTGCAATTGTGTCTTGGAAATTGTTTTACTTATTATCATGATTGTGCTTGGCTGGATGCTTTTTGTTGGATTTGCATGTTACATGGGCACATTTCCGGAGTTTGTGGTAAGTAATGACCCTGCTTGTTAATTCCTGGTAGTCAGTCCTGGCTCTAGCTAACCCTCCCAACTGGGGTTTCTGACCAAATGGGAAAGATAGTCGAGGTCTCACCACTATTTAGAGGTCAGGATGCGATGGGAACAGTTTCCCAGGCTACTTCTTGTCCCATTGGGACATCTTTAAGCCTTCCCTGCCCCCCATTTGGGCACATAACATCACTTATTTCAAAGCATTATGGAATATAGAATTTATAAAGGGTCTGCTGGAGACAGTGCCGGACTTCTGGATTTCAGGCCAAGTGGATCAGTGGTTGCTGGTAGGACAGTGAATGTGGGCATTGGTGGGAACTTTCAGCAGCCCTTCCATCACATACAGAGGCATTTACCTCCTAGACCAACCAGTAGGGCCACCTCTGCCTTTAAGTTTCTTTTTGCCTCAGCCTCCAACTCTGAAGTGGAAGGAGATGTGGGCTGTTCAGGAGAGCAAGGCACGCCTAAGAAGCCAGACTTTGGATGAAGATCTGCAACCGTGAGTGCGTGTGATGGGCTATTGGGCTGGATTCCTCTCTTTCAAGAGAACTTGGTGGCACCCTGAAATCTCAGTGGGAAGTTTACATTCCTCTGGAAAATAAACAGTGGAAGGGGAAAGAACTTGGGGAGCATTGCTGAGGACAACAGGCCAAGTTTCAAATACTTGTTAATAACCACGCCTTGTAGATATTTTTTTCAAAGACTATGCTCATCTATTAACTTATTTTTTCTGTGCAAACTCTATGAAAATTGGACCAGCCTTTTAATGCCCCTTTTGGCAGATTTTGAAACTGGAGTTAATGTAAATTTGAATTCAAGTCCTAACTTTGCAATTTACTAACCATGTGACCTTGGAAAAGTTTAATCTCTCTGAAACTCTCAGTTTCTCCATCTGTATAATGGAGATATTCTAGTATCTTTCTGTTTTTATGCGGATTACATTTGGGAATTCATGTCGAGCATTTAATGCAAAGCTTGACAATTCACACTTAGTAAATGCTTACTTAACAACCAGGCAGAATAATGACCCAGTCAACAAAGACTGGTGACAACAACCTCTGACTGTTTTCAAGGTCATACAAACCAACCTGTTTGTGAAGCTGGGATGCAAGCATAGATCTCTGGATTTAATAACCTCTCACACTCGTTCAACTAGACCAGCCTGCCTGTAGGAAACATTAATAGCAGTATCCTTTTAGCAGACCATCTCTTGGGTTTCTCAAATCCCACCCCATTTCATTCAGGCCTGTTTTGTCAAAGATGTTCCCATTAAACACAACTCTAAAAGTCTTAGTAATATGCTGATACAGGAGAAGTTTTTCTGGGAAGCTTCTCCAGAAAGCATAGGTATCTATGAAGTCCCAGCCGCAAGTATACTTTTTCCCCCTCCATCTGGTCTAGAATTTCTATGAGAGGGCTGAGCCAACAGTCAGACCTCTGTGGCGTGGATGTGCATGGAGGGACTGGGCATTTGTTTAGCTGAGCCACTGCCACACTGTGATCCTGACCAGATCACTGGAACTATTCTGTGCCTTGGTTTCTCCAGCTAAGAGATGAGCATAATAGTCCATTTTCCTTCTCTTCCCTTCTCAGGGAAGCTGTAAGGAGGCTTCCCCTGCATGATGACGTTTTTAAAAATATAAGATTTTTCTTCTTTGAATAGCCTAACAATAGTATATAAGTAATTGCTCATAGCATACCACCCTCCCAGTTAATCCAGGCTATATTTTGTTTTGTTTTGTTCGTGACAAGGTATTTTGTGTTTTTTGTTTATTTTTTTTGCATGTGACTGCATAAAACAAGTAGCCAAATTTTTGGTAGATGATGAGTTAATAAAGATAGGATGCCAGCTAGATCTAACCACACTGAATCACCAGCAAACAGGGCCCTTCTGATAGGGATTCTTTAGCCCCTACACACACTGTCCCATAGCTCTCACTCTAACTAGTCTTCAAGGTCACAGGAGCTGATGTCACAATTGGTGTCTGAGCTCTGCCCCCCAAATAGCCATGGTGAGCCATTTCAGGTCACACTAGACCACAAAACTCCTCAGCCAGGAGCTATCATGTTGGACCATCCACCATCTGGTCTTGAATGAAGAAGATAGCCCAGTTTCCAGGACTCAGGGAATAGAACACCGCACCTTTCAGAACCACCTGTTTTCCCCGGCACACACCACCAGCTGAGCAAGAAGCCCCACAATGATTGTTGTCTTATGGATGCTTCTCATTGCAGGAACAATGTGGAAGGGATATAAGTATCCCCCAGGAGGGGTAAGTGTGCCTTCAGCTTTGTTCTCTATTCCTACTTTGAAATGTATTCCCAGGGATACATGAACTAAGCATCAAAATCCAACTCTAGTAACTTCAGAAACAGATACTCTTTTCTCTATTAAAAAATTTCTGTAGCTTACCTACTTCTATTATTCACTATCTACTTAGAGTTGAGAGAGTTCCCTCTGTCCTTCATGTGATCTTTCATACATCTTTTCCCAAGAGTCTTTACTCTTTTTAAGTACTCATGCTCACAGGACATTTTGTATGTTCAGCTTTTAATACCACTTCTTAAATTAGCCCACACCAGCAACCCATGTTTAATTGTCCCTCATCAAATAAACACTGGGCTGTAAAATGGTTCTGGTGGCAGATGTCTCTTTCCTGTCTCCTCCCGTTAGACCTTGGATGTTTGTATTTTCTCTTCCTCTTGTCAGCTCCCACCCTGCTAAGCCCCTCTGGCAACTGGGATAGGAGGCACTAGGTGAGACAGAGTTGGACACAGCTACCCGGCATGCCCTTGGGAAGGAGTGCAGTTCCCACAGCCCCACACCCTGGCAAACACTAGGCAAGACCCATCTGACATACTTTTCCCCCTCTAGACCCCGGTGGAAATAAGTAAAGATGATCCTGGTGAAGTAATGCAGCTCTGAAGCTCTCCTGACCAGCTATACAGTTCCTGTTGTTGGTTTCACATAAAGTAATTGCACATTATTTTGTCACATTTTATGTAACAAATTACCACACTTTTTGAGATGAATGAAGACCTGGTATTCTATTAGCTCAAAACAGGGAGATGGAGAGCGGGGAGGAAGTTGGGGTAGATGGGAGTGATTGGGTCCCCTCTGTTTCATAGTCTCTAAGACTGGCATTAAGACTAAAATATCTTGTTCAGTTTGTCCCCTATGGTGTATCCTGGAGGATAGAAACTCTCTAGCGCTCTAGACCTATTTCCCACATAATGCCTTTCTCCTGGGTCCGGGGTGGGGGTGGGAAATGTTAGAGAAAGTTTAAGAGATTACAGCAACATTAAGCCTATTCTCTGGAGATATTTCTCTGGCTTTTTCACAGCTATCATTAAGAACTCAAAGCTTACACCATGTGGGGAAAGGATGTTTTAATATTGGGTGCTAGATACTAAATTATACATTATTTTAATCCTTACAGTAACCTTCTTAGCCTCATTTTACAAAACGGCAAAAATGAAGTGAGAGGTTTAAGTACCTTACAGTCCTGGGTAGCAGTCAAGACTAAAATCCAGGCTTTCTCTTTGGCCTGCTTTTATATGCCAAGGAAAAGAGCCAAACAAGAGACTGGGTTATCCAACACCTTGACCACCTCTTGGCTCAAATGTCTCCCTCACCTGAGTAGCCAAGAAGTTGCCTTTTGATTCTTCTAGCAGTGACTGCTGCTAGTATGGGCAGCGTATGTAGAAATAAAAGCTAACTGCCCAGTTCTCAATTTGATGCAGTTTGAGTTTATGAGACCAAGAATGGGAATGTAAGTATAAGACCCATGCTGGGTGTCTGAGCCCTAGGATATTCCTAATAAGCCCTCTAAAGGTGGTTTGGAGCTTCCTGACTGTAAAAGAAAGAAAACCTAACAGGAGCAAGTACTTTTAAAATTAAAATGTATTGAACTGTTCCCATTCTGTGGCTGCTTGTGGGTGACTGACAGCTTCATTGTTCAAAAGTGCACCCTAACTAGCGAAGTAGATCTTTTGGTTAAACAGACAGCATTTTGTCGACTATTTGGTGTATGTTCGCTTAAGTATTTTTAAGTGGCTCTCTGTACTGACTGGATTGCCCTTTTTTTTTTTAATGGAAAAGTGAATTCAAAATTCATAAGCAAAAAATTTTAATTTCTAAATCTAGGATACCAGCACCTTTTATGATACTTGTATGACCTAGATTGACCGCATTCCATTAAGTGCCTGCATCCTGTTTGCATAGCTGTGCCCACTTGCTTCATATGTATATTCTTAAGGACTCATCTTCCCAGCAATCTCAGGCTCTTTAAGAGATCAGAAGCACTCATTTTCTTAAAAAGAGCAACTATATACCCAGTTCTCCTTTCCTCCAGTTCCCTGACTATACCTCCAAACAGTTCTCCTTTTGGGTGTCCAATAGCAAAATAATTCTCTAGGCTGGTGGTGTGGGAGAGGAGAGGTATCAGTAGCAGGGGCTGAGCAGATGTGACTGTGTAAGGGAGAATGAACAGCTGTGTGTGTATAAGGAGGTAAACCCCATCTCTTAAGTTTGATGAGTCTATTGGTGTTTCTAGCTGGAAAAATGTTCAGGGTGATGAAATAAGGTATGAGTTTTGGTAAATAAATGCAAACCAGTGAAAATATCAATAAAATATTTTAATGCCTACAATTTCATTTATACATAAATTGCAAAACTTTTTATCTGTATATGCAAAAGTAGATTCTCTTGCAGGTCAACAGCACCAGAAAACAAGCTATGCTATGTAAATGTTTCTTTAAACTTGATTTGTCCATTATGTAAAAGACATGATGGATTTAATAACTCCAAAGAAGTCTATATCCCATTCTTAATCATACACTAAACACCTGAATATTTATTTCATCACATCCACTCACAAAATAAATAGTAGTCTAATATATTCAACACATTGAAAATAAAACCACCAGTCTCTCTTCATATATTTATTCTCTTTCCAAACATGTTTTGGTCTCCTGCTATATCTCAGAAATGTACTAATAGCTGCTTTTAAGTTACAAAATACAAAACAGTAATTTATTTCTTGGAGAAGATCTTGGGGATTACATTTAAAAAATGAAATTTCGAGTTCCCACAGACTTTCTCATTAACAGTCTTTCAACCTGCTTGCGGCACACATGTAAGGCTGCCTGTGACATGTGGTACCCTGGCCTCCAAAGTGGACATAATTGCATTATAGTTTGTATAGAGAAAATACAAAGACAAGTTCTGAAAGTAGCTTTTAAAGAAAGTGCCCCTGCTTTGACATAGCAATATCTAAAGCAAGTGGGACTGTGCAATCAGAGCCATATGAGTTTTATGAAAACTGCTTTCCCTTCACATCGTGTTAGAGAATGCCGCATCCATGATCATGTAACATTATTACAATAATGAAATAACATTACTACATTCATGACTTAACATTACCCAATAAAAGGCACATCTTCAAATATTAATAAAATCTGAAAATCAAAACAGTAGAGGATACATTAAAAACCAAGCACTTAATGTGTAAACCTTGATAATATAACAGCCTATTCCAGTTTTTTTCAAAGGTTTATGAGCTTTTTGTAAGAGTGGTCAAGAATTGCAGAACAAAATGGAAGACAGGATTTAGAAACAAGGCCATGATTAAAAGATCAGAACTTTTTTTTTTAATGAGCTACAGAAGTGCCCTTTTATAATGCTGATGCTGAAGAAAACTGAAATCAACATCTATATTATAGAAGAAATGCACCCAGAAGTGATGACTCCTAAGGACACAACCCGACTCTACCAAGTTCTGGAACTTTTAACTAGCACAATAGTGCCTTTCTGTACAAATAACTGCACAATATCATTGAGTAAAGTGCTAGTAAGCTTTAAACCACCAGAAATCTTTCAGCTATGACAAGCACTTGATTGTAATTACAGATTTCAAAGAGTGTTGAATCTTGAAAAAAATATTCAAGCAAACTTCTGAAGGGGGAAAAAAGCACATAAGTGACAGTAAAGGAAATAATGTTCCAAACCTGTTTTATTACATGGAATATCACACTACTCTTGAGTCAATTTCACTGAAGGTATTTGAGATAGGTGAAAGGCAGTCAAGAGGATTTTCTGCCGTCAGTGTTTAACAGTTCTATGTGATCATTAGAAGGGTGTTATTCCTAGTGATGAAGACACCTTTCATAGGATTCAACTTCAAAATTAAATCCTTGCATTTTTAAAGTCTGAAACTCAGTTCAAAATGAGTCAGTCTTAAAAGGACTGAGTCACCTGGTCATCCCATTAAGGGAGGCTAACAGTGGTAATCTGTAACACCCAAACTTGAGAATACAGAAAGCTTTATGGATAAAAAGGAATACACAAAAACAACTTTCAGACCTGTTGAAGAGTAAGGATTCTTGTAGGACAGCCTCTCCTACTTCCTAATCCCCACTGACCAATGGCTTAAGATAGCCACAATGTTTATTGTAGAACTGTTCTATAAGCTTATGTCCCACGGTCCCCTACCCTCCACTTATGGGTCAAGGACAAAGGCTCTCTAGCATCACCGTTATCTCATTTTCTGTTGCTGACTCTCCTTGAGATTTGGCTTCTCTCTATCCAGAACTTAGGTCAGCCTGATTGGAATTGCTTGGACTTGAGGCTTAAGAGATATAACAAGTCTATAGATATGACTTGAAAAAAGGTGAGAACAAAGAAGTTCCACGGCCTAGTAAACACCAGTAACAGGGAACATCGTTTCCTACCTGGGAAAAAGTCTCTTCACAGTGCATAGTTTGAAATAAAAGTGCAATATGGGCAAAAAGAGAAGGTGATCTTAATATACATGAATTTAGTTTTTGGTTTTTGCCATTAATTACCAAGGAATTTTAGATAAAAATGCAAAGTCATTAACACCAAAAGGTATGGGGCACCTTGGATTCCAAAATATAATGGGGCAGGGAAATGGGGAGGAAGGGAGCCTGACATGTCACTTCCTTATTTTTTTAAACTATTACTCATCCAAATCTAATGTTTGAACAAAATAAGAATTTTTTCCTTCAATATAAAAATGAATTTTTTAGATAAAAATCAATCAGCACAGTGACCTTGTCTATTTTACACTAAAGCCAACATAACAGTAAACCTGAAAGTAAAACTTGGAAAAGAATATCCTTATACAAAATGGCATAACTTGTATTTTAACTTGGAAAAATTTTTGTTAATTGCCTAATCACCTAAATTAGTGAATAAGAATGCTCAGCATCCAATCCGTGGATAATGCAGAATACAATACAATTTATTCTACTTTTTAACTTCAAAGTCACAGAGATGATATCCATATAATTGTAACACCTACTCTAGATTTTCAAGTTCTCAAATCAAACATTTATGACAGGTCACTTTTTGCTGGCAACATTCATGGAAGGGCCAGGTTCCTCACAAAAAGACAAAATAAATTTGATTGGGAGCCAGGCAGTGCTGTACTCACACATCAGCAGAATTATGGAAGTAAAGAGGCAATCCTTTTTTTTTCCTTTTTAGAGTAGCAAAGAAACAATACAAGATTGGCTGACCTGTGAGGGGCCCCACATCAGAGTGCATAGCTCATCAGGACCAAGGCTGGCACCTGTGAACAGTTAGTTTCGTAAGAGCACTCACTGGGCATTGTATCATCTGCATTATAGATTCCACCCTGGAAAGTATTTTAAAATACTTTATGCTCAAACGACAGCCTGCGGACAGATGACAGTATGCATTCCTTCTCTTTGAGTACCCAAGTATAATTCTAAAACGATAAGGGGGCTTCTTCAGTCTGAAGGCAGGACTTCCTTGCAGCAGAATATCTTCAGAATTTCACAAAAATAAATAAAAGCAGCAGCTAACGCTTCTTCAACTTCTTGGCCTTTCGACGTCTCATTTCTTCTTCCTCACGTCTCATTTCCTCTAAATCCTCTTGCATACCTAGTCTTAAACTGTCGGGAAAAAATGGGGTATTTTTCAATACACATGAAATTACCACTCTCTTTAAAAAAGCGAGAATGAAAATTCAACTGGGAGCTTACATGGAATGTGCTGATGCACTCGAAATGCCTCAAGGCTTTACCACTGAAAACAGGACTAAG